TGTGGGAGGCCATGTGGGAGAGCAGGCGGTCAGTGCGTCCCCGACTTGAAGGGTGCTCTTCTGTCCTAGGTCCGACCATGTCGAAGAAGAGAAAACTTGGGGGTGGACAGAACTTCCACCCTGACACGTCGATTAGTGACTTGTCCGTTTTCGGTTTTCGAGAGGGCGCCGCGGCCGTCATTTTCCAGGCTTGCGCCCGCCAGGTTTGGGCCCGAGGTCGTTTTCGCTAGACCGCGCTTTACTAAAGGGGGTTCTATACATCCCCGACGGACGCCAGAAGACATAGACTTTTGGCGCTCCGCGCGGATTTCTTGGAGCCGCGCCGGGCCCCCCGAGAGCACACGGCTGCGAGAGGCCACGCGGGAGGGCGCAGGCGGGGGGCCGCGCGGGAGGACGCGCGCGAGGCCGTGCCGCGGAGTCCGCGGGAGACCACACGGGGGGCCCCGCGGGAGGCCGTGCACGGGGTGCCACGCGGGAGGCCACACGGGGCACCACATACGGGACACCATATCATGTACGGGTCGCCGATTCCGGATCTCCGGAGCAGTTCACGCGCGCGTCGAAGCAGCGCATCGTCCCCTTCACGGGCAAGTTGCTCAGGGAGCCGTGGTCATTCTCGTCGTCATTGGCGTCGTCATCGTCATTGTCGTCGTTGTTGTCGTCATTTTCGTCATTATCGTCATCATCGTCATCATTGTCGTCATTCTTTGTTTTGGCACTGCGAAAGGTTCTCATTAGGGTTCACGCCACCCGATGCCTGGACGGACAGCGATTCTCTTTCAGAGTAAGCGTGATGCTCAGTAGCACGTGGTCGGATAAGAAGGCGCGCCCTTCAGACCCGACCAGTTTCTGACCATGAAGGCTCATGGGCCCTCGGCTGTCCGGCGGGGCCTGCCGCAGTGATGATGAGTGCTTGTTGGCAGAGTCCAAGTGGTGTTTGCACATCGTTGCACGTGCTGCTGTCGATCGCAGGCGCAGTGCAGCGTTCAAAGGCATGCCGTGGTGCTCGCAGGCGCGTGGTGGTGTTGACAAGCATGCGGAGGTGCTCCCAGGCTGCTGCGGCTAAGTAGGCCGAGTGGGGCATGCGTGCGGCTGCGCGCGGCTGCGGTGCCCGAGTGGTCCGCGGGCCCGCGGCGCCTCCCTGAGGCCCCCGTCGAGGGCACGCTGGCCGCCTCGATGTCTTGTGCGGCGCGCGGAGACGGCCCCCTCCCTCGGAGGCTGCGCTCCCTGGCCGGGACGTCCGCGCGAAGGCGGCCGTGGCGACGAGGGCCCCCCAGGCGGCGGCTCGGGAGCGCCAAGCTCGGGAGACTCTTCATGGGGGGGGATCCCATGGGGGGATAGGATCCCAGGGGGGGGGATCCCATGGGATCCCCCCCCATGGAGAGTCTCCCGACAAGCAGCATCGGCCGCGGACGGGCCGACGGGCGGACGGGTGGATGGGCCTCCGGAGTGCCCTCTTCGTCGCCACGGCTGGACGCAGCTCGGGAAACTGGCGCTGGTGGGCCCCGGGAGGAGTCCGGGGGCCGATTTCGAGTTGCCGTCGCCCTGCTCCCAATGGTGATCGTTTTCTGATTCACTGTTTTGCCAATCGGCGCGGGCCCTCGCACTCCCCCCCCTCCTCCCCGATGGAGTAAATCTTGGCTTTTTTGGGCCTCTGTTTCAAGCATGTGGACGGCTCCCCATAGGGTTCCCGATGGGAGCACTGTTCCAAACAGTCGCACTAATCAGAGGTCGGGAGCCAGACCCCCCCCTCCCCCCCTGCCGCCCAATGTCGAAACGCCGTTCCTTAGCCATTTTGGCTCAAGCTATTTGTTCAAGTGACTGTGAGCAGTACAGGTCTTGCAAATATTTGGGCCAGGTTGACCTCTTCTGAAATCAATGGTTGAACCTTCCAATGTCGTAATGTGCGCCTTCCTGCAACCGGAGAATATTTGGATGTTCCCCTGGTATTATGGACGTGTGCTGGGTCCATATGGGTTCTCTGGACTTATTGGTGCAGTGGTCGTGTCGAGCCTTATCCGGAGATCGATTGCCTACGCGGTGCGACGATGGTTTAAGGAAGCGTTAGGGGCTATGGACCCGGACTACTTCAGTGTATGCATCCACGCCGTGTTTGTAACAGCTTGGTTGGGATGGCAGGGCCTGCAATCTGCGATATTGGTGCACGGCCCATATCGCATACGGCATCCTTCTCCGGGCCAACCATTGTTTGAAGAATTCGTCGCTCCTGGTACCGACGTGATTTGTATGTTCGTGGCCTATCTAATTGACGATATGTTCAGCAGGAAGATAACTGTTGACATAGCTATTCACCACGCCCTGTTCATATACTATGCCTCGGTAGGCTCTGGTTTTGGATTATTTAGTTTCATCGGATGTGTTTTTATGACGGGCGAGCTAAGCACCCCATTTTTATCAGTCCGAGACATTCTCATTAAGTCGGGTCGCAATAACGAGTTTCTTGGCATCATCAATCTTTGTTTCGGGGCTTCGTTCTTTATCTTCCGCGTATGCTTATGGACGTATGGGGTGTATTGGCACTTCTTGCCGGCCGTGTGGTCTCATTGGGGCTTACTGCCGCAACCAACATGGCTTGCCGCCATTCAAGTCATTCTTACGTGTCTGGCTCCCGGGTTGCAATATTATTGGTTTTCTCTGATCGTCAGGAACGCTCTCAAAAGAAGGAACAAAGGCCGGCCCGAAGCAAAGAAGTATTGACGGACCAGGCTGCTTGCTGTGGTCGGAATTTGAGTGGAAGCTGGCATTGCCTGTGAACGCAGTGTGGACTTCCGAGTTCAAGGGTCTCGATGTGTGAGGTGTTGCCATGGACGGCCAGGGAACGCTCATCGAAGTATCTTTGTCAGGACAGGACAGGAAAAGGCCGCGCGAGGAACAACCAAAGCGTCAACACGACGAAATCGACGACGTTCGCCGTGTCGTAGGGGCCCCTGGGCGGCTCCCTGGAGGCCCCAGAGACGGCCCCCGGGCCGGCCGCCCCGAGCCTCCCCGCCGCGAGGGAGGCCTCGGCCGCTGCGCGCGTCGCGCGCCGCGCAGGCTGGGCGGCGCCGAGGAGCCAGAGTACGGGGATCGACGGCAGAGTTGTCGGGGGCGGACAGAACCCCCAACAGAGACACGTCGGTTAGTGAATTGTCCGTTTTCGTCTCTCGAGAGGGCGCCGCGGCCGTTATTTTCCAGGCTTGCGCCCGCCAGGTTTGGGTCTCAGGTCGTTTTCACTAAACCACGTTTTACTAAAGGGAGGTCTGTCCATCCCCGAAGTTGGTTTGCCCCAGAATGGATTTGCTCGTCGGGTCCACGAGAGGTGCGTAGGATGTTTTCAGATCTGCAAGGCCCACTCTGCGCACGTCTCGACGCGAGAAGATGACTTCTGGGTGGAGCCAATGCTGTAGACGATCCCCTGCTCGAGGCTTCCGCGCAGCCGGAAACCTACGAACAGTACGTCGATAAAGCGCATTCTGCGCCTGTTCGACGAAACAATCACTTTTGGGGCAAATCAACTCTGTCGTCGACCTCCTGCTCGAGGAATGGGGGGGCTGCGCGTCTGAGAGCCGAGGGCGCCGGGCCTCGTCGGAGGCCTACCCCCTTCGAGGAAGCCTCCGCAGAAGCCTCCAGGACCCCTCGGAGAAGCCCCCTGCCTTCTCAGGAGGCCCGCCCACCCTCCGCCGTCCCTCGCCTCGCCCCCCCTCGCCTCGCCGTCGCCTCGCCCTCGCCTCGCCCTCGCCCTCGCCTCGCCCACCCTCGCCTTGCCCACCCTCGCCTCGCTCCTCTCCCTCCTCCTCCGCCTCCGCCTCCGCCTCCTCCTCCACCACCTCCTCCTCCTCCTCCTCCTCCTCCTCCTCCTCCTCCTCCTCCTCCTCCTCCTCCTCCTCCCCCTCCCCGTCCCCCCCCTCAACCCCCTCCCTCTCCGCCCTCCCTCGCCTCGCCCAGGACGGTGCCCTGGGGGTCCGTCCTGCCGCGTGCTCTTCGAGCTGCGTCCAGCCTTGGCCGCGTGAGCCATCCCGATGAGGGCGAGCAGGCGTCAAAACCTTGGGACAGAGCTCCTTGAGAATCCCCTCCGAGGACGGAGAAGCGACGCAGGACGACGGGTTGACCCTGAACGATTTCTTCGGCGGCGAGTTCACCTGGAAGAGCGGTCTTCTGGGCGAAGTCGTCCGGATGAAATTATCTGGATGAATTCGTCCAGATGAATTCGTCTGCGGATGATTTCGTCTCTGGATGATTTTTCGTCTTCAGATGAGCCCGTCCTCGGAGGAGCTCGTCTGGAAGAAATGGTCTAGACGAATTCGTCTGGATAGATTCGTCTCGGAGGAGCTCGTCCAGATACAAAAGCTTTCGATGAGAAACGGTAGGCTTTCCGACACCATGGACCGCCTGCCTCCAGCGCGAGGAGGCCCTACGAGGCTCCTCCCGAGCTCGAGGGATAGGATGTGCCTCGAGCGGGTCGCCGACAATTGCAGCGGGACCGCACCACCAGGAGAGTCGTCCCCGTCGTCGTTCTCGTCCTCGTCCTCGTCCTCGTCCTCGTCCTCGTCGTCGTCGTCGTCGTCGTCGTCGTCGTCGTCGTCGTCGTCGTCGTCGTCAAAGGGGGCATAACGCAACAGGCCCCGCCTCATGTCTGCCCAACGTCAAAAAGGAGGAGGAGGAGGAGGAGGAGGAGGAGGAGGAGGAGGAGGAGGAGGAGGAGGAGGAGGAGGAGGGGGACGGTGCCGAGCCCCGTTTCCGCTCGACCTCTCGCGCGCCCCGTGGCCACAGCGAGCGGCACCGGCGCCGTGCCTCGGCGAGGGCACGACGCTGCGCCCGCTCCGTGCTCGCTCGTGCCCGAGTGGTGGTGATGCTGCTCTCCTCTGGCTCCCAATCCCTCGCGCGCGCGCCGCCCGCGTGCGCGCGCGCCCGCCCGCCTCCCGCGCCCGCCCGCCTCCCGGCCGCTCCGCCGCCAGCGCCCTCCTCGCCCCCTCGGCGCCCCCCCCTCGGCGGCCCGCGAGCGCCCGCCGGCCGGAGCCCCGCGCGCGCCTTTTGCCGCGCCCGTCCCCGGGTTCCCCCCCCCCGCCCCCCGCCCCGCCCGCGCACGCCCCGGGGTGCGCCCTCGCCCCGCACCAGCGCCGCCGCCGACGTCGCCTGCCGCCGCCGCCGCTGCCGCCGTCGTGGCCGCCGCCGTGGTCGACGTCGTGGCCGGCGCCGTGGTCGGCGTCGTCGCCCTCGTCGTGGTGGTCGTGGTCGCGGTCATCCTTGCCGTCGCCGCCGCCGTTGTCATCGTCGTCGCCGTCGTCGTCGTCGTCGTTGTCGTCGTCGTCGTCGTCGTCGTCGTTGTCGTCGCCGCCGCCGCCACCGCCGCCGCCACAGCCGCCGCCGCTGCTCTTCAATCTCCAAATTTTGTTTTGTCGTCACGGTCACGGTGTGCGTTTCTCTCAGTGTTTTCACTATCGGATCAGTCTTACTCGTGCCTTACCTCTACCTCCCCACTTTTTTTGTCAGTTATTTCCTCGAGTTTTCTCTCTGTCTCTCGATGCCTTTCTCATAGCCAATCACTCATAATTCGAATGCTGTCAGATGTCCTGTCCGCCGCCGTTTGGGCTCCCAGAGTTCTCCCACGGCAGTGGTTGCCATGATTTGCTTGCTGTGGTATTTCGCTTTTGCCGAGAGCAATTCATCCGTTGTCGTCCCAGTCTTCTAGTAGCCTGCTCGGCAGCAGCTTCTCCAGCGCCACCGCGGGGAGAGCCGTGCGTGGCATCGCCCCCCCCCCGAGCAGAGCATGTTCCCCGAGGCCGTCAGGGGACCCTAGCGCCGCCGACCCCTCGGGTCCGGGTCCTCCGTTGTCCTTGTGCGCCAGGGGTCCCCGCCCCGAGGGCCACCAGGTTGGGGCCAGGAGGCTGGTGGTCCGCGGCGGGGCAGCGGGAACCCCGTCGGAGAGCTGTCCCCGCCGCCCTTCACCAGCACTACGCCTGCTGGCGCCCCCTTCTGCGCCCGTGGCGCCCGCTGGACATGGCAGCCCTCGGTCGCAGCGGGCCGGTGGAGCGCGGAGCGTCGGCAGCCGCAGGCGGGGGGGGGGGCTCCGCGGGCAAGCGCGGGGCAGCTGTGGATCACCTCCGAGCTCGACCCCGCGGCGCTGGAGCGACTGGCCCTGCGGCCAGGCACTGCTGCAGGTCGGCGTGCGCGCGCCTGGAATCCCGAGGAGTGGGTCTGCTGATTGGAATTCCGCCACGTGGGGGCCTCGGATGCGTACTTGGAGTGGTGCGCCCGCGCGACGGTGGAACACGGGTCCCGTGCGGATCAGAACTTCGTTCACGTGTGCGCAGTGGGAGCTGAGAGCTGCACGGTGCGTGGCCCCGAGGGCTGGTCAGTGGAAGGCGTCGACATGGCGCGGACAGCGGTGCAGGAGGCGTCTGTATTGCTTGGGAGCCAGGGGAGCGTGGCCCACGAGGCGGCCGAAGTCATCCCCCGACCCGACGGCGAGGAGGCACAGTCCGTGGAGGCAGCCGGCGGCGCGCCCGCAGGTGTAGGGGTCGGCCGAGGGGTGCGACCCAGGAAGGGACCGGCAGCTGCCCAAGAGAGAAGGAGAGAAAGAGAAAGACAAAAACGAAGAAGGCGAGCCATCAGTCAGCACGAGCGACGACGACGAGGAGGCCTGCGAGGGCGGTTTCGCTGATTGCGAGGACCTGGAGCGAGGGATGCTGCCGCCGAGCGCGCGAGGTCCTCTGCTGCCCCCGCCGCCCGAGGCGCCGCCGGCAGGAGGCCCGAGCGGCCGCGAGGAGCTGGGCGCTGGTGGGGCCTCTGGCGCGGGGGCCGAGCGCTGAGCCCCCCTGGCGCGGGGAAGCGGGCCTGGCGGCCACGGGCGCGCTGCGCGACGAGGAGGCTCGCGGCCGAGGTCGAGGGGCTTGGGGCGCGGGGCCGTCCGCGGCGAGCGAGGCCCTGTCGACGAGGCGACGCGGGGCCTTGGGGGCGGACGGCGGCGACGCGGGCAGCGCGGCGGGGTTGCTGCAGGATTGTGCCGGCGGGGCGACAGGCGGGCGGCTCGAGGAGCCAAGCCTGTGCGCCCAGTTCCGCGGCGTGCATGCGGCGCTTGCGTCCCGGGCCGCCTAGAAGGTCGGCCAGGGCCGCCCCGTTCGCGAGCGCCGGCATCGGGGCTCGTTCGAGAAGCAGCTCGTCGACAGACTGGTGAGGCGGCGCGGTGCTGTTGCCGCGGCGGGCGACGGCGCCTCGGGCGGTGGGCGACGAAGCCTCGGGCGGCGAGGGGCGCGGCGACACGGGCGGCGAGCTCGGGCGCGACGCCCGCGAGGCTTGGGGGTGCGCGACCGATTAGCAATGCCAGCCGCGCGCAGGCTGGGTGTCTTGCCGAGGCCGGAGCTCGAGAGGCTGGGCGCCCGGAGTCTTCTTGAGCGCGGTCTTCTTTGTCGAGCGCTCGCTGAAGAGCTTGGGGGCCGAGGGGGCGCGGCTGCTCCGCGCCCTCGCTGCGGTGCCGGGCCTCGGACTGAGCGGCTCGACGGCGGGGGCGCTGGACATCGCGATGCAGGAGTTAAAGGCCCGCGCGATGGCGATTGTGGGCGAGGGCTGGCGCGTCGCGGAGTGGATGGCCCTTGCCCCGACTGGCGCCGCGCCGGGCGCCGCCTCGAGGTTCGAATGTCAACGCGCGCAGGGTGGCCCGCGCCGAGCTGGCGCGACGAGCTGCGCGAGAGGGCCGCTGGCAAAGAGAGTTCGTTTTAGGGGCTCGGCCGGGAGCGGTCGCCTGGGGAGGCGGCGGCTCCCGCGGGTCGTCAGGGCGGGGTCTGGCCCTTCGCTGAGGCGCATGAGAGCTCCGCGTCCTTCGAGCAGGCGGCGCCGGTGATGCGAGTGGCGGGGCCGAGCCCGACGCGCGGGGTGGCGGCGGCTGCTTCTGGGGCAGGGCGACCGGGTCCGCGCTAGGGCGAATGGCGTTCGCCGCAGCCCCGCAGCGAGCCCGGCAGCGCTGGTGCCAGCGGGCCCCCTCGCCGTCCATTAGGTGCCGCTGGCGGGAAGCGAGCAGCCGCCAGCGCGGCGGGTGAGCGCGTTCAAGGCCGTCGAGGCCAGGCTGCTGCGACAGACGAGCGAAACGAAGAAGCCCTGCGCAGCGAGTGTCTACCAGGCCATCCGCGAGAACCGCGCAGGTGATGCTAGTGGGGGCAACCCCTGGCCCAGACGTTGAAGGCAATCATGTTTGGGAAGGGCCCTCCTCGACGAAAACCGCCTCGGGGGCCGCGGGGCCGCGACGGACGCGGCGGCGGCTGCCTATGAGTGGGGCGGCCAGAGCAGCGCTGGACTCGAGCGCGTGGTTAATCTGATTGCAGCGTGCCACGCGGAGGCCCGGCGGGCGCGGGGCCGACCGCCGTCGCGTTGGTTCGGCGCAGCCATATCCGTGGGCAGCGCGTTCACGTGACTTCGCCCCGCTACCTCTGCCAGCGCGGGGTGCGAACCCGGGCGTCGGAGGGGCCGGGTGCAGGAGGGCGAGCTGCGGGGGGCCCAACTTCCAAGGGGCGCTGGCGGCCAGGTCAGGCCCTGGCCGCTGAGCGACTCGCTGGTGGAGCAGGCGGCGCGGGGGGTTACCCACTTCGCTGCCGCGTACTTCAGCCGGGATTCGCAGGTCCCCGCAGAGAGGCAGGATTTGGCCGAGCTCGCGCCAGCCGGCGGCCGCGTCGGAAGCGGCCAGGAGTGGCGCGCCATCGGCGAGCACCTCGTGCGGGCCAGTGTCTTCGAGCCGATCGACGACTGCGGGATCTCCATGGGCGAGGGGGCGGGCGCTGGCGGGGGCGTCCTCGATGGCCAAGACGGGCCAACCAGCCCCGCGGTCGCGCGCCCGATCGTCGCGCGGCGCCGCGCAGCGCGTGCCGGCGCGCCGCGGGTGCCGACCTCGACGGCCCGGCGCCCAGTTCATCGTGGGCCGCGATTGTCGCGCCCCAGCGCCCAGCCCTCCAGGAGTCATTGGACGACCGGTCAGTGACTATCGTGTGCGCGGGCCCCCGACGGTGATGCTGGCGCGCGGGGCGGAGGGCGCGCTGGGCTTGGGCCTGGTTGTCGGGCGGCGTGGAGTTGAGTGGATCCAGGGGGGCGGCGCGATAATGGCCGAGATCCAGCTGGAGTTGTTACCCCCCGAGGATGCAACCGCTTCCGACCGTTGCCTTGCGCGGCCTGTTCGAGAGGGATGGGGGTGTGACGGTCGCTGTGCCCAGGTGCCACGTCGTGATGTGCGTGTCTTCGGGTTTTGATGCGGCGATCAAGCGATGCGCGCGGCGGCGCGGGCCAGGGGTCGTTGGGGTGCGGGGCGCTGCCGAGCTGCCCCCGGAGGCGCGGGCGCAGGCGGGTCGCGCGGCGTCGGAGATCGCGACCCTGGCTGGCGGGAGGGTTATTCCATCTGCGTCGACGTCAGCGGACTGGGCGCGGGCGGGCAGGATCTCAGCAGGCCGAATAGCAGTCTATTATTTGAGCTGCCACGGGCCATCGAGACAACTCGCAGGGCGCGCGGCCAGCGGAGGCGCCCGTGGTTCGTCGAGAACGCGGCGGGCATGCCCATGGGCGACGTGGACATTGCCTCGAGCGAAATCGGTGTCATGCCCCACTGGGGCAGGGCGATGGGCGTCGGGCAGGCTTGCCGTCCTCGCCCAAACTGGCTGTCGTGGAGCTTGCGGGAGCGGCTGGGTGCCATCGTTATCCATGATGGGACGGGCCTTTCAGACCAGGCCCGCGCGTCCCCGGTCTTCGCCAAGCTGCGCGCGGGGGAAATTGCCGCCCGCGCCAGTGGCAGGCAGGCGCGTCCCCAGTGTCAGTGAGTTTGCTGTCGACCAGTGGAAGGCTTCCAATCTTGTATATCTGGTGTGCAACTGTGAGGATGAGAACCTTGGAATGCCTCCTCCCGCATGCAGTGGCGGATGCCCGCGGCTGATGAGCGCGTGGCGCTCCCTGCCTGGGATCGCGTTGCGCTCGAGCCGCCGTGGGGGAATTTGTGGATAGCCGCGAAAGAGAGATCATCAGGCCACGCCTCATCGGCGACTCATTTCGGTGCAAGTCGCGCCATGCCCCTCCGCGCCGCTCCTGCCTCGAGAAGGCAACGGCCAGTCGGTGCCGGAGGCGA